GATAAAAATATCTTTAAAATGTAATTGTGATATTATTCAATATTATATTAAATAAGCAAATAAAATATACAAAATAAATGACAAAATTTAAATATTATTCTCGATATAATTTACCTATTTAACAATACAATCTACTATTACCTACGGGTCATTCTACCTATGTTTATTCTATGATAAAAAAACAACCGCGCGAACACAGAGTAGCGCACATTTTTTGTTTGAGATAGTTGTTCTAGTACGTAAGTACATATTATTACTTCAGTGGTCAAATATGAATTGCAATTTCTTCTTCCAGGCAACTGCCATAAGAAACCTTTTTTGCTCAATCTATATTTTTTTATTTTTTACATGACACATCACCGAATACGAATATTCGGCCGAATGTTCGGTAAAAACTTTACCGAAACGAATATTCGGCCGAATATCATTCAGCAGGATCGCCTCGGTACCTACCTAATCAATTTATGTCCACAGAACATATTATACATAACCCTAAAGGAGTTTATGTCTAAACTTATTACTGTAAATCGCGCGGGATTAGCACCGGATCCTGCCCCTCGCTCCCCCGCCACACCTGACATGTTATTGCATCATCTAGTACTGAAAAAATTGCCGGTACATGTTTATGTATTGACTATTTTTGTGAGAAAAAAGTATTTAGTTGTGTTATTGTTAGTAAAAATTGATGATAATATGATAAAATGAGTGGCAGGAGATCTACTATTTGAACTTATTTTAGAGAAACCGACGACCAAAGTAAAGTGAAATGTACTAATTTAATGTAATGTTTCTTTGTTTGATTCAAAAAAAATTATCAAGGTTTCTATTTGATATAATTGGAAATAAATTTACAGTGCCTCAAAAACATAACGCTATACAAGTAAATTTAATCCGTAAAAAATATACTTTCAAAAGTAAAATTATGAAAGACATGGCATTACTCAATTAGTACACTGGACACTTTGAGTACGACTTTAACGAATGTTCGGTGATTTAGCCGAGTATTCGGCCGAATAAGAATATTCGATAAAGCTGCCGAATATGCCGAATACCGAATATAAAACGAATATTCGGCCCATCTCTAATTTTTAGTTACAAGTAACCATAGACAATAGGATTGGCACATAATTTTTTTTGTTAAGTGGCAAATCACGTTTTAAATTTTAGCTCCTCATATATGAAGATAGATTAGATTACATGAATACTTTTTGAAAGTCATTTATGCTTATATAACTGACTTTGAAAAAATACTCTGTCTCTGGAAGAACCAGCAAGAAACACATAAACAGATAGAGAGCAATTCTCGGAGTGATCTAGGCTATATTATTTTATTCGAAAAACATGCATAATTTTAGGAGTTATTACTGATAACTGAGAAGATTGAATCATAATATTAAAGCAAACAAAATCGGCTCACCCTGCACTGGTCATTTATAAACGTGTCCCTCTCGTAATGGACTCCAGTCTTAGACCGTCAACCCTCAGACCTTTTAGCACAGATAGTAATGGTAATGCCGTCCATTTGAAGCTTAATCAGATCACTTCCAAGATTGCCCTGTTTTCGATTTTCTCCGTTTTCTCGATTTCGTCGGAATTGACGCAATAAGATAGGCGAAGGGGTCAATGAATAGATCTATTTAAAGTTAAAAACTAAACTTGCATGACAATAATGATTTCTTATATTTACGCGAAAACTACACATTGAAATAATACTAGTTTTTACGGAATTTATCGCGTATATTTAACTTTTTAAATACCCGGGGTTTCAAACGCTTTACAGCACTCATGGTCACAGGCGGGACTGAGATGTTCAACGTCCATATGTCATAGTTAACCGCGGTTACCATAGATTAAAATTTAACTTTTGTTCCGATCTATGCAGTATGAACTTATGGTATCTTGAAGTCTTGCAGTTGTATGCTTGGGTTGGGATTTAATTTTATTTATTATAGGATCCCAAGCAGATGGTAGCACCCAGCCATCTTCTCTATTGAAATTAGGATGTTTTTTGATTTCAATAGCCTCGCGAATCATCCTTGGAAGGAATCGGTGTTCTTTAGCGAGGATTTGCGGTCTATCAAATCTGATGTAGTGACGGGGGCGATCCTGTACGTGTTCACAGACTGCAGAATTTAGGATTTTTTTGCAGGGAAGTCTGCAGTCTGTGAACCATGCCAAGTGCCGATGCAAGTGTGGTCTCTGTGGACTTTTTTTTATATTGTAATGATAATTACATAACTCATGACATATAATATTGATATTTCAAAATGAAAACTTACTACTATTTATTCTATTAGTTCGAACTGCCGTAGGACTACCAGAGAAGGATAGTTTGTTAAGAAATAATTGGACCAAACCATTGAGGTGTAATTTATTTACGTACACATATTACCTTAATGGACCAAATCTTATAACGTGCTCAATTTTATATTAGTAATCATAGTAATTAAGAAATATCTGGTTAACGTAATTTATAAAGTTTAATATTAAGTCGTTTTGGCGCCGCGCAGTAATTGTGTTGTTCTGAGAAAAATGTTGAATCAACTTCATAGAGAGATGTGAATGGCACGCTGGGCCGCGGTGACTCATCACGATTTCATTCATAAGTTTTTTGGCGCGCGTTTGGTGTTTACCGTGACGCGATGAAAGATGACTGTTGCGTATCGTCAAGAAGTATATTATTGTGCTTTGATTGTACTTGACTAAATTGAATTATTTTTGTCATTAAAAAAAGTTCAATAGAAAAATTCTCTAAATTAGGTTCAAATATCATTTATATTATTATTCTTCTTAACATTCAACATGTAAATATAGAGCTAGTAAGGCGGTCAACATGATGAAATCAAGGTATGGTGTTTTTGTGTTTTTTTTTTTATTCTTGTGCTTTGGTCGGGTGTCGTAAAAGTTTTCACAGCTGCCTATGTATTTTAAATATAAATTTTATAATAAATAAGCAGTATGTAAACTATCGACACACTACGACGACGATGCACGACACACATAATATAGATATAATTATATTAATACATTTTGTAATATACATATAATACAAAATGTATTATATCTATATGGGAACGGCTTATAACTTGGTTTAGCAGGGCATTTTATTAAATTTTATTAACTATTAGGATACGATTAATAACTTGTGATATTTTATAACACGTGGTGTTGCCCCAATAAAACCAGTTTATCGCTTTCACTTATAGAAACAGCTTAAATAGAACTTTGTTCATTTTTTTTAATGTTTTTAATTTAATTAATTATGTATAATTTTTGAAAAAGCCTAGGAGGAAAATCTCATCTTACTTATTAATACAAATGTGTATTATAAAGTTATCGTTCCTTTAATCTACTTTACGGTGCAGTGGAAATTTTTGGCGGTTTGTGTATTTAAGGTGAAAGTTGTGTAATGTGTATATGATACACGTGGGATAAAATGGGTACAACAGTTTTTTCCCACTGATGGAAAATCGTATTTCGGAGAACGACCGAGCTGTGCTCGTAATTAGAATAAAATATGTCTTTCTCAGGGATAACACTTATCTAGATGAACTTGGTAAGAAAATCATTATATTATACTTAAATACAAAATTTCAAGAAAAGGAAAGAAGCCATTTCTGGGAAACTAATTATATGCTTACATTATGTTTACCGTTTTATTATATAATAAAATAAATTTTTATTAAATAATAAAATTAATATTTGATTGTGTATCAATAGAAAAATGTTTTTCTGTAAAAATACTATATATTCATAGGTTTTTAGAACAAACCTTTGCCCACACGGTTGAAAAGTTCGCGTAGCGCTTTGAGTATCAAAGGCGTAGCGGCATAAAATGCGCAAAGGATTTTATTAGTCTTTTATAATTTATTTTTGCCCAGTTGAGTGCGCTGATGAAAGAACAAAAATATAAAGAAAAGACCTATGACGTACACTGTGTTGGTTTTTTTTTTAAACAAAAGAATTCTAGTAACGCTATTAGCATACTCCTCATTACCTCACATGTCTGTCTCTCTATTAGAAATTGACTCAAATGAGGAAAGAAGGTCTAGAAGATTCATAAGATCTGAAGATCTGGTACTATTTTTTATGATATTATTTTTCAATTTTTTTTTTGGTACTTTCATACTAATTTGAATAGCCATTAAGGCTGATGGGCAAATTTTTTAATTATTCTAAGCCATTGCTTAATTACTACCCTAACTGGCGGTAAGTAGTGATGCAGCCGAAGAGACTTTTTTTATAGGATAGGGTGACAAACGAGCACACAGTCCACCTGATGGTAAGTGATTGCTGTGGCCCATAGACATCTACATTTATCCTCAATTAAGAAACAAAACGCAGTGTATTGTCACCTCGAGGACTAAGATGGAATGCCTCAATTCCATTAAAAAGGGTCTCCGGTTCTCTACACTCACCATACGAAACACAGCATCATTACGCTGCTACTTTACGCTGGTATTCTGTGAGAGCGTGGTCCTGCCCCGGTCGAGCCGACCCATTCGCGCTACAACTATACAGCTACAGCCTGGCTCTACCACGTAAAAAACTTACTTTAACAAAAGCCCACATTATAGTCGGATGGAAATAAAACAGATACTGATGATATAAAGCTAGACAGGTAATTAAGAAAGGGTAAGCAAGGTGGTAGAACTCCTATGTGGAAAGACTCCTTTGCAAGGAATCCGTCTGGGTAAATACCAACCTCTTACCGCCGAATGGCAGTGCTGAGCAGCTATGTTCAGGTCTGAAGGATAAAGAGAACCAATATAAATGCTGGCTTTCTTTGTCCTCTGTCAGGTATTCCAACATAGTCCTTAGACGTGACAACGCATTTGTAGCCTTTATACAATAACCACCTAATGTATCCTTTTTCAAAGCAAATAAATCTTCATTCCATTTCATTCGAAGTTGGCTGCAGGTGTCTATGCACGGCAGTAGCCGCTTATCATCAGACTGCTAGTTCGGTTATCATTTCAGTTTAATAATAAAAAAGTTACCGGGCAGTGCGGTCGCAGCAGTGGCAGATGTGGCAGGTGCGGCTTGGTGCTCTGGCAGCGGTGCGGGCGGCGGACGACCGGTGGCGGAGGCGTGCGCGTGCGCAACGTACGCACTGAAGATACGCGCCGCCGCAGAGTTCCCCTCGCACACCTGCACAAGCACCATTTTACACTCATAGGTTCTAAGAGTACTTACTGTAAGGTAGTATAGTGGTGGATTATTCTAGAAATCGGCTTAGAAGCCTGTTGTACTGCATACATCGCTGTCACTGAACCAATCAAAGAAAGAAAGAAAAATTATTTATTGCAAAAAACACCAACATACATGTTATAAAAGGTATTATAGACTACAAGAATAGATGGAGTGACGACTATGGATGCAGGTGGCTCAAGAACGTGCTTTGTGGGAGGCTTTTGTTCAGCAGTGTATTTGTGAAGGGAATGACGATGATGAGGATGAATGGACAAAAAAAACTAAATCCTCAACAAAATGGCAGCAATTTAATCATTAGCTTTATTATACAGTTTATGTGCGGGTTTAGTATAAAAGGACTACACTCAGGATAATTTTACTCATCACAAGCACAGAATAAATTAATGATATGTTCAGCTACAGTCACAATTCTGTAGCTGAACAGAGGCTCCCATGTTACATATACACCTATATATGTTATATACAATATACCTCCACAGCATATGGCACTCTATTATAGAGTATATATATTTATATAATACAAGCGATCCGCCTTGGCTCTGCCTAGGTAGGATTTATTTATGAAGCGATATTTGTAGGTATTTAAGATAACTAAAGACCATTTACTATATTATTATTCGGTTTAAAAAAAAACCAAGTTATTCAGATAAGATATAACCTAGATCAAATAGTAAAGTTTCATTACAATCGGTTCAGCCATTTCGATAATTAACTAGGACAGGCAGACAGTGCCAGGTGGGTTAGTTGCAAGACTTTAGCATGTCCTATTTTATGAAAGTATTACATAAGTATTAAAGCAGCACAGATCATCTTGTAGTATACACAGAAGTTTTCGGTGCCGGGTAGGCAGGTGTACGAGTTCCTGGGGCTAGGAGTTGTCGGATTATTGAGCGTCATTTAGTGCGCAATATATTAAGGATGTAGAGTCCGTCTTGTAGTATGCATAGACGTCTTTAGTGTCATGTAGGCAGGTGTACGTAGAGCTAGGCGTGGTCGAAGTATTGAGCGTAATTTAGTGCGCAATGTATTAAGAATGCAGAGTCCGTCTTGTAGTATACATAGAAGTCTTTAGTGTCGTGTAAGCAGGTGTACGTAGAGCCAGGCGTGGTCGGAGTATTGAGCGTAATTTAGTGCGCAATGTATTAAGGATGTAGAGTCCGTCTTGTAGTATACATAGAAGTCTTTAGTGTCGTGTAGGCAAGTGTACGTAGAGCCAGGCGTGGTCGGAGTATTGAGCGTAATTTAGTGCGCAATGTATTAAGGATGCAGAGTCCGTCTTGTAGTATACATAGACGTCTTTAGTGTCGTGTAGGCAAGTGTACGTAGAGCCAGGCGTGGTCGGTGTATTGAGCGTAACTTAGTGCGCAAAGTATTAAGGATGCAGAGCCCGTCTCGTAGTATAAACATAAGTATTTGGTGCTGGGTAGGCAGGTGTACCTGGAGCCAGGCGTGGTCGTCGAGCGCGAGCAGGTCGGCCCCGCAGCGCGGCAGCAGACTGCGGCGCGGCGCTCGCACGCCGAACTTGCGCGCCACCCAGCGCACGCACCGCACCACGTCGCACCGCTCCCACTTCGCAGGATCTACGAGGAAACTTGCGTTATTTCTTATCAGGTAAGTCTTCAAATAAAGAATGTTGCAATTCGACTATGACTTATTTTATTTTTTGTATGTATGTTAATTTACAAAATATAAAAGAACATACAATCGAATTGAGAACCTTCTTTTCTTTCATATACATATAAAGGTGGTTACCTATGAAATTACCATTCTGCAGTAATGGCCATTTCAAATCAAAATAATTTTTGTTTGGCTAAGCAGTCTAATTTTAAATTAATTTTGTTTAACAACATAGAATATTTTTTTCAAATTAGTCATGTGTTAATTGATAAGAGTTATGTTTTCGTAGCATTTGAATCTTTTACATCAACATAGATACGTTAATAATTGAAGTAATTATGGAATATGAGTACCGTCGTGGCAGCAACGCGGCGCAAGCAGCACGCAAAATCAACGAAGTTTACAGAGCAAATAATACAAACGAACGCATCACCTGTTATTAATTTCCCCGCTTCCGTTCTGGAAATTTCTACCTGAAAAATGGACCTCGTGGTCGTCCGAAAACTTTGATCGACAATGACGAATTAAAGGCGATTGTGTAAGCTGACGACACTCAACCTACGGCTGGATCAGCAGCAGCTTTCGACGTTAGCACCAAAACAATATTGGTCCATTTGCGTCAAATTGGGAAGGTAAAAAAGGTTGACAAATGAGTGCCCATGAAATTGCCACGGGTATGGTGACCAACAGGCACACAAACGAAGAAAATTTGAACCGCATTGTTACCTGCGATGAAAAATGGATTCTATTTGAAAGTCGCAAGCGCTCATTAAGTTGGTTGGCTTCTGCTTCAGCATCTATACAATGCTCTAAACGAAAACTTGCCCCTAGAAGTAAGTATTATGATCATTGTTTAGTGGTTTAGTGCAGGTGTAACTTGAACTTTTTTCAAAATGGGATGAGCATTACTGCAGATGTGTAATGTAAAGAACTAAACACAATGATGGAGAAGCTCGCACGTCTTCAACCAGCTTTGGTCAATCGCTTGCCCCACTGCTCCTGCACGACAACGCGCAATCTCATACTGGACACTAAACGACCTCCAAGTTACAAGAGCTGGGGTTGGATGCTCTCCGTCATCCGCCGTACTCACCAGATCTTGCGCCTACAGACTTCTACTTTTTACAGAATTTAGATAACTTTTTGGCGAGTAAAAAATTAAATACCCAAATGGGAGTACAAAATTAAATAACCAAAAGGCAGTACAAAATGCCCGGGGAAGCAACAATAAACTGGCACTGCGTTGGCAAAGACGCATCAATTCCATGGGTGATTACTTTGATTAATAGAAATAAAAAATACAGAAATAAAATAACGTTAAATTGGGTATTTCATAAAAAACGGCAATTTCATAGGTAAAGACCTAATATATTTCTGTTAATTGTTAACAACTTTAATAATTATTTTTTTATAAAATAGGCTGTACTTCAGGGGTGGTCCTATATAAAGTTGCAGAAAAAAACAACTTTAGATGATATTCGAATAGTAACTTCGCACTTGTGATAATATTCCTTACACCACTTAAAAAAGTTGTAAAAGTTATTTTTGTGTGAAAAATAACCTTTAGTCTACATGAAAATAAGCCGCTAAGACTGACTCCACACGAGGATGCTGTAAAAATAGGCATGGAGTGTGGAGACTTCCCGACATGACAAATCCGGCGTGCATAGAGTATTACTGCCATATCCCTTCAACAGTCAAAAACGCCGGGATGGCACGCACCATATAGTCCAAATAGCGGCTGCGGTTGTCTATTAATTCACTGTTTTGCCGGTTTCGGAACCTGTTCATGGTGGTTGATAGGCAAAGATAGATAACAAATATTTTTAACTCTATAGTTCGTTGACAAATTTGAAGATTTGTCCGTCGAAAATCGTCAACATCGCGCCAATTCAGTGCTTGTTCATTTAATCTCGAATTTAGAGTTTTGTTGTTTATTATTACTGAAAACATCAGAGTATCGAGAATTATAAATTAGGTATCTTTAATATTTGCACGTAGATTTATGTGTTTTTTAAAAAAAAAACTTTGTGTAACTTTTGTTGCGAAATTAATGTTTTTTTATTTTTTTATTAAAATTGAGTACCCTCATATTTAAACGAGTTTATTACTTCGTTTTTGGCACTATTGTTATATTATAATATAAACTTAGGTGAGAAAAACGTTTTTACTGTAATTTTTTTGTATAAACCACGTCATTATTCCTATAAAATACAAGAAAACACGAGTAAATTATGATACTTTTTGACCCGGGCAGTATTAGATAGCCTCAATGGCGTTTACTGTTGAAAGAATATATGAGCTAGTGCTGCAAAATGCCACCTAAGCTTTGGATTATTATAATAGTGTCCGAGTGTATGAGCAAGGACAGATGCACTCTCTATTCCTTCCGATGGGACGGTAGTCCAAGACGATCGAAGAGAGATCGGGCGTTTCGCCATCTTAGGCTACATCACCACTTACCATCAGGTGGGATTGTAGTTAAGCGCTAGCTTGGAATAGTAAAAAGAAATCCTTGGGTCTTGAAAAACCCTAATGCTTTATCCACCTTCAGTTAAGGTTACTCTATTAACCTTGGCTTAAAAGTAAGAAACCAACAACAGGATTGACAGCCTAGAGAGACTAGTCTAGATTGAGTAAGAACCTAATGAGATACACAAGGTCAGATCCAATGCTTACTTAGTGGAGCCACGCTGCAGCTAAATTATTAGGGTTGTATCTTTACACTCACCATACGAAACACAGCAGCTATTAACTATTACGCTGCTATTTTACGCTGGTATTCTGTGAGAACGTGGTCCTTTCCCGGTCGAACCGACCCATTTGTGCTACAACCATAATGTATGTAATTAGTATTTTTGTTATGAATTGCAAGTGTTTATTGGCAGTAATAGGCACTTACTATCTGGTGAACTTTTAGTTCGTTTTCCTCTTAAATTTTATAAAACAAGTGACAGGTGAGTGGCAGCTATTGCTATTCCGGGACCGGCCCCTAGAATTCGTGACGGCCACCTTAGTAATTTCTAAATAATTAATTTCTTTACAAAGTCTCGGGCTTAAAGTCTTTGTCAAGTAAGAAGTCCCTCAGCCGGGACACCACAGACTTTGCAAAATTTGACATTTGCTGTCAAATCCCATACTTTACATTTAGTTCGCACGTTTTCCATGATATTTCCTTATTGAAACAGACACTAGTTAATTAAACCAGAGTTTAAGCCTGAAGCCTATTTATTACTAGCGACGCGCCCCCGGCTCCGCCTGAATAGGATCTGTTAATGGAGCGTTATTTAGATTTAATATAATCAAATATCAATTATTTTATTTTATCAAAAAATCATCAAGTTCTTTTGGATTAAATATGGTCTTGATCCCCTCTGGCATCGCGAAGAGATAGAGAATCTTTTCTTAAAGGTTCATCACAATCGGTTCAGCCATCCCGAAGGTTAGTCCAGACAGAGACAAATTTTTAAAGATGGTTATTGCAAATAACCCCGCTAGAAATAACCCCGTGAGCTTCATAGAAGATAGTTATTTCAATATGACAGACATTTTTTTCAGTTATTGCTGATGATATGTCAAGGATGTAGATATAGTCTTTTTTATATTTTCTTTGGTGATATTAAAATTTAAACTTAAGGAATAAAACAATGAATTTATTCCTTTACACCTTTGGTTGCCTGGAAGAGATCGCCATGTAGCGATAAGCCTACCAAATTGTACATATAATCTGCTTTTTGTTATGTTATCTGTGTATTTTTTGTGGTGTACAATAAAGTATATTCATGCCGGTAGCCACTTACTGTCTGTTGACTGTAGGTGGACTGTTGGCTCGATTGTGACTCTAAGTTTACGAAAGAAAAAATAATTGTCTTCATCATTCTATAAAAAAACCGCAACTGTGTTTAATTTTAGTTTATCTTGTGAGGATTTTGGTATGACTTTTTTTATAGAATAACGCTGACAAAAAACAGAACGTCCACCTGTTGGTTAGTAGATGTTGTGGCGCAAAGACACGTACTATTCACGATGGGGAATCAAAATGCAGATGTGTTGTCACTACTGGCAATTAAAATGGAATGCCTCGTTTCCAGTTAAAAGGGTCTTCGGTTCTCTACACTTACCATGTGAAACAGCAGCTTTTAGCTGCTATTCTACTCTAGTATACTATGAGTATGTAGTCCTTTCTTTGTCGAGCCGATCCATTCACGCTGCGACCAAAATATTAAAGCAGCGTGGCTCTACCATGCCAATAAGCCTTTTAAAACATTACAGTAAAAATTATCTTCGTATAGATCACCGCTTACTAAGTGAGATATTATAGATATTAACCGGTGAGATAATAGATATTCAAGCACTGGCTTATGATAAAGTAACGGGCTAATAGTCAACTTGATGGTTTTTTTATAGGAAAAAGGTGACAAGCGAGCACACAGTCCACCTGATGGTAAGTGGATGCTGTGGCCCATAGGCATCTACATCTATCCTCGTTTGCGAATCAAAATACAGATGCGTTGTCAGCCTCGAGGACTAAGATGGAATGTCTTTTTTCCAATAAAAAAGGTCTCCGGTTCTCTACACTCACCATACGAAACACAGCAGCATTAAGTTACTATTTTACGCTGATATTCTGCGAGAGCGTGGTCCTTCCCCGGTCGAGCCGACCCATTGGTGCTAAAACTATGCTGCAGCATGGCTCTACCACGTAATTGTAAATGTAAATGGTAAGTTATTGGTTTCAGTATCCTAGGAACATATTCAACTTCAAATGAATAAAGTTATAGATGCGTGTTCACTTGTAAGGGCTAAGATGGAATATCTTGACGTTTGAAATTAATTATGCTGACTCTAAATGCCCTAATGCATGCTAAATGCTCTTTAAATTAAAACATTATTGTCACTCTATTACGCGATAGAACGAATTGGTCAACTCGACTGGGGTGCAATCCTGAGATCCTTTTTACTGGAAACGAGGCATTTCATTTTAGTCCTCAGGGGTGACAAGGCATCTGCACTTCGATTTTTAATTGAGGATGAATGAAGATGTTTATGGGCCACAGTATCCACTTGACATTAGATGGACTGTGTGCTCGTTCATCACTCTTATTCTATGAAAGAACGCAAGAATCTCTCGGTCTCCTGACCGCTAGACT